GGGGGGGGGGCGTGGAGGGGGAGGCCCGATGGGGTGATGATGAACTCTGACGGCAATGAAGCCAGACTTGTGGAGGGGAAGGTCCATGTTGAGCGGCGCCGCCGCCTGGCCCGGGCTTCGTGTCTCATCAGTACCTTGTGACGCAGATGAGGGGGCCGGGCTGTGCTGTGCTGGGCCGGACGGACAGTCGAGTAGACCTAGGGGCCGCCCCGACCACCACGGCCTCCTTTATAGCTGGGGCGCAGCAGAGGCAGCTCCATCGGCCTCTCCAGGACTCTCTCTCCCTCTCCCGCCCCCTGCTTTGCCGTAGCGAAGCTAATTTCGACCGGCTGACCGGCCTCCTCCTGATCAGTCAGCCATCCCAGGATAGCAAGGGTCTATTGCCGGCCTCCTCCCCCACCCCCTCCTCACTTGTGTCCCGCGCCCTTGTCCGGTCGCGTCACTGCTCCGCAGAGAGCCCAGCAGCCCTGGTGCTCCTCATTCTACTCTCCTCTCCTCTTCATCCTTCTTTGCCCGCGTCTTCCAGATTTCGAATTTCCCCCCCCACCTCCCGCGCGGCCCTCCTGTTTCATTCTGCCGCTGCTTTGGCATCGCAAACTTTTGTCCCCCGTCCGGCTAAGCCCCATTCAGGTCCCCCTCCCTGCCCCTGGGTCGCGCGTGGCCGCGCACAGCAGCGGCGCACAGGACGACGAGGGCATTTTTTAATCAAAGTCGCGGGAGTCAAGAAGCCGTAATTACTCTGATGAATGCTTCCTTATAATGGGGAGCAGGGTATTGGCCAGGGTCCGACGGTGCGCCCGCCTGGTATGGTCCCGCCCAGTGTCCGCCTTCCGCGCCATTAGAGAGAGAGAGAGAGAGAGAGAGAGAGAGAGAGAGAGAGAGAGAGATAGCGAGAGAGAGAGAAAGAGAGCGTGCTTTGTGCTGCAGCGCCGCCAAAACAAACACCTCAGGCAGGCTCCGTCGTCCTTATTTCGTCGCAAAGTTGCCACAATAAAGGGGCGTAAAGGCGACCGGCTCACAAAAGAGTCCTTCTCATCGAGGAGGCCAGGCCCGGTCGTCGGGTGGCCGCGGGGCGGCGGCGCGGGGGTTCTGGGTCCTTCCCTCGTCGTGGAGGTCCTCGTTTATCATCGGGGGAGAGAGTCCTTATAGAATAAAGTCGGTGTGCGGGCTGCCGTCCTTCGGCCAACGCGCCTCTTGTGTGAGTGAGTGAGAGTGAGAGGGAAGGGCGACGTCCCGGTCACTGATTGACAACGCCCAGGGCGAGGTGGACGCAGGTCCGGCTCGACGAGTGGAGAGGCATCGACTCCGCGCGGGCCCGTTGAACCGACCGGGGCGCGGTTGGCGCCCCCCGCTCACTTTTTATTTTCTGCACGCGGACTGTATAGTGCATTTGTTAGTGTGTGGGTGAAAGGCCGCTGACTGACTAGAGGCAGTATAGAGGGTGGCTTATTCGCACGGTCTCTTTTTTTTTTTTTTGCGCGCGCGCGTTGGGGTGTTTCGAACCTCCGTGGTCGCCACGTGCCTTTTGCCGGGCTATAGATTCGATATCGTTTGGCTTATTCTTGGCGCAAGGGCTGTGCGAGAGGTCGAGGGACGACCGCGCCGTGATGATGTCTCCGGGCTATTTGTCTCCCCACCCACTGACAGGCGACCGCGTTTGCCTATATTAAGGATCGCGCGAAGCGGTAGGCCGTGTGAATGTAGGCTATTGTTGTTTCCTATCCGGCCAATAATAGTAGACTGTCCAGTCCAGTGCTGTGCTGGAGGCTCCAGCATGGCTGCAGACAGAATACAGTCGCGCAAACGTGCGGGTGATTGAATGAGTTTGATGATGCAGATGACAAAGGTCCGACCAGCCTTGCGATCATGTAGCCTTTTCATCGCGCTTGTGTGTGTGTGTGTGTGCGTGTGTGTGTGTGTCGGATGTGTTATCGTGCCGTTATCGCTTGTCTATTATTATTCATGCCACTTTGGGCGTGCGCCTGATAAGCTATTGGCGGTGCGTTGTTTTTGGCTTTATCGGCTGCTCTCTGGAGCGTCGCTGAAGTGGAGTGGAATTTTGTGTAAAAATTGTGATTTAGAAACACTAGGCGCCGTGACTCCTGAGTATGGGCGAGGGCGCGAGGGCAGTTTAAATTGCAAATTATGACACATTTTGTTCTAAGATGTATATTTTTTTTAAATACATGAAAAGTTTTTCTAGTATGGATGATGGAGGGGGATGGAATAATTTTTTGAGTGTGCACTTTGTTCATTTTGTGTGTTTTGTTCCACAGCACAATGTTCCGGCGCGCTGGGCATGCAGTCCCGAGCCATCCCCGACCAGGACATCTCGGCCTCCTCCTCGTTCCACGTCGGCAACGTCGGCCCTCACCGAGCGCGGTAAGTAGCGCGTTAAATGTTTGAGAGTCACGAGATCCCATTCCCTAATCCCCCTAGGAATCCCCTTGCTCCCCTCCCGGTGGCGTAGCGGGGATTGCGCGAGCAGAGGGGGAGGTGCGGGGCGCGCGAGTGCAAGAGAGACGATCGCACAATCGTGGCTGTACACGCCGCCGGGGCCCACCAGCCCGCGGAGCAGGCGGGCGGTTGATTTTGAGCGAGAGATTGTCTGTGTTTGCTTCCTCAGACAATAACGACCACTCAGAAAGAGAGTGCGACTAGAAAGGGTGGGAGCGAGAGTGATAGAGAGAGAGGGGGGGGGGAGAGGGAGTGCTCAGGAGAGAGAGAAGTGCTGGGAGAAAGAGAGAGACGGAGCCATCTGAAACAAATCCATTCCGCTTAATTGAATGTCTAGGACTGGGTGGTGCAACTTACTACTCTGCCTCTCGGCACTTACAGACAAAGCGAGGCAAAAGCCCGTCCAAATCCTCGGCTCGGCGCGGCGACGCCGGGGCAGCAACGCTCCACTCCGGTGATGAAGCGGCGGAGGGAGAGGGGGATGTTTTGTCGTCTCGGCGCTGACTTTTCAGTTTCTCATAGTTGTTGTTGAGAAGATCGACGCCTCCTCCAATCTGCTTGGGAGCCGCCGCTGCCGCCCCTTCTTGCTGGCTCGCATCCTGTGGCAGCCATCCTCCCTCGAGCGTCAGATTGCGACAACGAACCGACAAACTTTTGCGGCCCTGCGTCTTTTTGCTTTCGGCCCCTTGCTCTGCTTGCGGACCGACCTGACTTTGCTCCGCGCGAAATTATCATTTATTATTGTTCGCTTCTTAATGTAGTGATTGAGGCCCAGCTGGGGAGATGTTCGCTCTGGTGGCGCCAATGTAAGGGCCCTATTCGAAAAAGAGATGCGGTACATCGCCCTTAAAAACGTTACAGATAACACCATGGCCTTACTAGACCATGGTGTTATTTCGAGCGTTTTTGACGGCGACGTACCGCATTTTTTTTTTTTCGAAATAGGGCCCTTGCATTGGCGCCAAGAATTGATAGCCTTGCCTTGTGTATGCCCTCCCGGCACACGAGTGCTAGGGGCACAAGTAGGAATGACATGTTGGACATGAAAGGAAACTGAGGGGTCATGCCACAGTCTGTCGCCGCGCGTTGTTCAGCCCTCGGCCACCTCTATGCGGCTGTATGTGCTGCCGACATGCGCGGCCAGCATCGGTACTGTTTCAGGCTGGCGTGCGGACACAAACAGCACCTGCAAAAAACAAAAAAAACAAAAACGAATAAGATCGCCAGCACGATTCTATACAAAAGCAGTGTGCGGTGTTCAGCCTCGCGTGGATGAAACTATTATTCGCTGACCGAAGCTGCTCCGACCAAGTCGCACACAGGGCTCCGGCGATCTCTCCGTCTATTCGTAAGTCTGTCGGTCTCTCGGTCGCCTCCGTGTCTTGCGGCCCGTTGTCGAACCAGGCTCTGGATGGCCCGCCGGCCAAATGTATCACACCCTTTAGCAAATGTACAAAATTTTGTACACAAGTTTTTCATACTTATGGCTGTATTAAATTCTGCAAGTTTATATGCACAACAAAATGCATATAAGGGTTTAGCGTGTTGGTGTGGCTAGGCAGGCGACCCCGGGAAGGGCCGCGAAATCCTAAGCCAACCTCGGGGCCCTCTTGTGCGCGTCGAGTGCGTGGCGGTGCGAGGCGGGACCGTACCGTGGCCACCACCACAAGGCGGGGCGGGGTGGACCCCGCAGTATAGTGCCCTCCTCATCCGCCCCGGCCGCTTAAAACTTGTTTCCGTATTATAAGGGGGTGAAAAAGCGCCGCGGCAGGGGGTGGCGCCGGCGCCTCACGGCACTGACGTATGGCGTAACTTTCCCGCGTGCCCCCCTCGCGAGATTACATTATTTTCGCACCGTCCTCCCGCCACGCGCCGCCACGCCACGGTCAGGAGGGAAAGCGACGCCGGCAGCCATCGTGCTGCTTTAAATTAGGAGCAAAAGTGTCGCGACCAGCACGTGTAGTATTCCGGGTGGTTGGGGGACCATGTCCCGTCCACCCCCGGCAGAGTGCGCCTCCCGTGTGCGCCTGAAGGGAAGGTCAACAGGACCGGGCGTGAGAGTGAGAGCGATGTGCAACAGACACGCCACACAGTTCTCTAAATATCTTCGCTACGATCTAACGGCCGGACGTGTCGCAGTGTAGGCATCCACTGCGCCTGGGCCTGCGTGTTGTTGGAGATTTCTTATCATTTAAACTCCACACATTTCATTATTTTATGTGTTTTACTATCTGTTCCGTTTTTATTTCTGTTTGTTTTTTCACATTTTTTTGCTTGGCTCTGGTGCGACCATTTGCGGCGCAGACTGAGTGCAGGCCACCGGAGAGAGAGAGAGGGTGGTACGGGCTGGAACTGCTCTGCAGACAGATGCAGTAGTGTGGCAAAAAGAAAAACAGAAAAAGAAGCGAGGCTAAAAAACACAAAGAGGGGGAGGAACATGCACGTTGGTGGCTGTCCGTCCTGTCGTTGTTCCGGCAGAACAAGTGGAGCGATTTGTTTGATGGGCATCGGGGCTGCTCGCGAGAGGGACGAGGATGGAGAGGGAGAGGAGGAAGCGTTGGATGCAGCGAGTCGAGCCGGTTGCCTATCCTCGACCTGGCGGGCGGCGGCGGAGGCGGCGCACTCTCCTCCTATCGTTGCTGCAAACCGTTTTCTATCCGCTCGCTGGCGCCTCCTCGGCGCTTCCCAGCTGGTCGCTTTTGCGTTTCTATCCTGATTACCCGCCATCAACTTCCGCACCCAGGCCCGACAAACAAGTCGAGCCGAGCCGAAGCCGAGCTGGAGCCGAGCCGGAGCCGAGCCGGAGCCGAGCCGGAGCCGAGCCCGGGCTCAACAGAGCAGCAGCAGCAGCCCCGAAGATTGGGGGGTTCCTCTAAATTAGGGGATGTTGAGGGCTGCAAGGGTAGTCGGCGCCCCCGGGGCGGAAAGGGGTCGGTGGGGGCGGCCGAAAGGTACAAATAGAGGTGTTAGACGGGGCGTCGGGGCTGGGGGGCGGACTATGGGTTGGCGGGTCTGGGGGCGTAAAGATCCCCCGTCAGACCAGACCCGATGGGGGTGGGGGGTGGGGGGTGAGTTGTTTTGGAGAATGGGGAGAGAGGAGGGCGTTGGTTGAAATAAATAGTCGTTCGACTTGGATCGGACCTTTACGTGGCGGCAGAGTATGGGGGGGGGGGAGGGGAAGTGCCTCACTGCTTGCAATCAGGAGCACAGGGTTATCTCTAATCGTCTCTAACTCTCTACTCTTTCGATGGAATCATTTAAAACGTGGGCACATTTCTGATAACCGATCGATCCACCTTAAATTTAATTTTTAACATTGTAATCGGTGAGTAAACAGTGTGCTCTTATATTGTTGCCGCTGAACCGCCCCCACCCTCGTCTCGTCTGCGAAGACTTCGTTAATCAGTCTCCATTAGGGTGGTATTCCTCTTCGTCCTGGGCTATGGTGCCTGTCTGGTGGGCGTGGAGGGAGGGGGGTGAAGGAGCAGCCAAGAAAGACACTGGAACACAATCGCGAATTTAATCACAAAAGTCAAAAACTTGTAATTAATCGTCAGAATAAATTTGTCATTGTCTTCATCTACTTAACAGTTTTTCGATCACCCTAATGTGCGATTGCTTCATTGCTTTTTACAAAGTGACTTTTGGATGTTCGAGTGGCAAAATTAGGTTTCCTCCTTGACGTCGTGGTGGTCCTGGTTGGAGGGTGGTGGTGGAGGGGCAATGGGGGAGGGGGGAGGTAGGCAGGGTCTGTTGGAGCCCCCGCACCCCGAGGTTGGTCAGTACGGAGCAAGAGAGCCGGTCCGTATGACTCCGCGTGGACCGCAAAGTCCCCTGGCAGCTTTACTGGGCTTTGGTTGGGCCGGCGGTGCAGCGGGGGCCGAGACGGGGACGGGGCCGGCACGGGGCTCTTTGCTTGCCTTGCTTTTTGTCCGGCCAAACCCCCGCAAACCCCACCGGCTGGACAGGACCGGCCAGAGCCAAGGAGAGGGAGCGGAGCAGACCAGAGTTAGTGTGGGGCCGTTCAGGAATAGCACGTAACACTCTGCAGGGGGCCGCCGGCTGAGGAGCCTTTCCAGCACCCTTCCCTCCCTTTCTCCCTCCGGAGTGCCCTGCTTCTGCTCTTCTTCTACACTAAGGCGGTAAGAGGCCATCGGGCTGCTTTAGCGTTGCCAATCAGAGCCACCGAAGACTTTTAAAGCAGGTGGGAAGGGGGCTGATGGAGGAGGAGGGGGCTTCAGTAGTAGGCTAAAGCTGTCGCTTGTGTTGTGAACTCTTTCTTTGGTCCTTCTCTCCCTCTCCTTCTTACTCCACTCTTACGACTTCTCGTCCCCACCATCACCCTCTTTTCCTGGTCGCGACACCCGCCGTCGCGTCGTGATCCATGCCAGTTGGACAATAATTGCGCCTTAAAGCGTTTGCCGAACAACTTCTAGAAGAGAGAGAGAAGCGAAGGGGAGTAGAGAGGGGAGAGGGGCAGAAACAGCAGCAGCCAGAGGGAGAGAGAGAGTAAGGAAAGGGGTGGAGGTTTACGAAGCTGACAGCTACGCGGCGGAGAAGAGGGAGGAGGGTGGGAGTGAAGTGCGGAAAGTAAGAGTGGGGGGTTGAAAGGGGAAAACGGGGTAAGGGAAAAAAACAAAGTCGTTGGGCAATGTCGGAGGGTGAGCTCGATAGAGCGGCGACCAGCAGGGCGGCCTGGCCTCTGCGATAAATAATAGTCGGGAGGAGAGGACCTTAGTACCGAACGTAATGGGGCAACTTGTTGCCCCACCACGCCCCGCCACGCCCCGCCCCGCCCGTTCGGCGAATATGTCCTCCAGAGATACGGTCGCTTCTATGCAGACACAGCAGGACGTCAGATGAATGTCCGCGGAGACCCAGCGCACCCAACATCATGACGTTTGTCGTCGCAGTTTGGGGGGACATCGACATGACGTTCGCTGAGGAGCTTGGGGTGGCTATATGGTTGGTTGGCAGCAAGGATGAGTTTTTGAGCCCTGCTTGCGGCCCGTCTGCTAAACGGGGCGTTAGTTATCAACCGTATTGATTATCCATCCCTCCGGACCCGGAAAACGAACGTGTAGTACATTGGGCCTACCACGTGGTCTGTCTGTCTCTCTCTCTCTCTCTCTCTCTCTCTCTCTCTCTCTCTCTCCCTCTCTCTCTCTCTCTCTCTCGTACGGTGACAGCGTTGTGTTGTTGGCCGTTAAAGCGCTATCGGACACGGCAATCGGCTGATAAGGGGTACGGCTGTGTTTGAACGCGGGGCAGCGGCGGGTGCGAGCACCACCCCCTTCGTTGACTGCTCCCCGAAAAACCTAACCTGGCTTAGACCCGAACAGCGAAAAAAATCGTTCACAAAATCAGACACATCATTTATGAGTCACCAATCGAACTTTTTTGTGAATAACCCCATGTTTTTTTTGTTGTGTGCCGCGCAGAATCCGCACGGAGGGCCACGGCGGCGCGTGGTGCCCAGAGCACCAGGCCACAGCTGACCCCAGCGAGTGGCTGCAGGTGGAGCTGCACACGGTGCACGTCATCACGGCCGTGGAGACGCAGGGCCGCTTCGGCAACGGCCAGGGCCAGGAGTACGCCGAGGCCTTCATCCTCGAGTACTGGCGGCCCTCGCTCGACAAGTGGGTGCGCTACCGGGACCAGGAGGGTGAAGAGGTAAGACAATCATGTTTTTTGTAAAAATATTTTTTTGCCGCCCCTTTTTTACGACCCTAGTCAAATCTAAGCAGGCTGACAATAGAAAAAAATAAGTGCTCGTGCCCAAACCAATTGACTTAAGAGGAGGGGGTCCAAATATTATTGCGTTCTAAAATGTTCAGGACGATCATTGGAGTCCATGGGTACCTCATGATATTGGTAACCCGGAGTCAAAATGTAATGGGGTCCCTGTGGAGTGTAATGACTGACCTGAACCTGTTGGGACCCCATAATTTTTGTACCCCCCTCCCCCCAAAGTCACGTAGTTTTGGCACAAGTCCTAACGTAACCGGGTGAAACGTTACCTATGCAGGCGTAGGGCGAAAGAGGTGCGAGGACAAACCTGCAACCTCCGAGCACTAGTAAAGAAACACCCGGTACAAGCCTAGAAGTACCCCCCCCCCCTCTCTCTGGCTGCGACAGCGGATTTTTCCGGAGCCTTTGGCGCCTGAGCAGCGCGCACCCAAGACTATTTGTCGCACCTGTCGCGCTTGCCGTGTGCGGTCGATG